TTAGTAAAGGGTGGTTGGATTTATGAAAGGGGTAGGAGGGGGGGGGGGGGGAGGGGGGGGGTGTATTCATGGTCGTGCATGCCGTAGTCGTTAGACCATTGACCTCGCATCCCTACAAAGCCGGGACGGAGCACGCCGGGTTCTCACCGGACCAGGCTCTCACATCACCAAGCGCGAAGCGCCGTGAGGCATTCGGCGAGTCGCATGAAGGGTGAGCTGCATCCTGCCAAGGGTATTCGGCATCTTGTGCTTACTTCCTTGCGTACGGATGACAGCTGCGTATGACTTAATTTATTTTCTGGTGCTTTCACTTCCAGAGACAGTTGTAAGCACTGTGTAAACTGCCTCGAGGATGCTTGACCATTTTCACACAACGTGGTGCGATCATCCCCCTTGCGCGGAGTGAGGTTTCTCCACCCCGCACAACATGATCTACTCGACCACCATTATGGTTACCGCCAAAAAAAAAACAGAGGTAAAAAAAAAAGCGATAACCTGGTTGCCGAGTTCACGAAGTGAATTGGCTTGTTTTACAACGTCGTTGCCAAGCGACGGAAACCCGATCCCGATGGCAAACACCGAGGGGGGGGCTTGTTTTACAACGTCGTTGCCAAGCGACGAAAACCCAACCCCGATAGCAAACACCCGGGGGGGCGGCATGTTTTACAACGTCGTTGCCAAGCGACGAAAACCCAATCCCGGTGGCAAACACCGGGGAGGCGGGGGGAGGGGGGGGAGTACAGCGCACCGGGGGCAGTACTTCAGCTGTTTCCTACAAACAATACGCATACCGCACTCCACGCCAGAAGTAGCAAGACAACGAAGGGATTGGTTTGTTCCGGCAGTCGAGCATGATGGGAATGGAAAAACTCAAACTCAGCGTTTATCCAATACTCATCGATGCGCTTGGTAGACGTACTGTACCTTTCAACACCCTCCTACAGCGAAACTTCGCAAGATCAAGCTCGCCGGGTGCGTCATGTCGATACAATCTCTTAAGTCGAACCGAGGCGAACGATCCACGCGCATCATCAAACATTTCGCTTCGACAAAGAACAAAATACAGAGAGAAAAAAAGCTCCGGCAAAAAGAAAATAACCACACACGGAAAGAAGTGTTCCAGGCAAGAAAAAACAACAGTCCCGGTGTTACGTTTTCCCTCTGCGACTCCCGGCTGACACGTTAAATAATAACCGAGAGGTGTGGACTGGCACTAAATACCAGAATAGAACGGGGGTCAAAACACACAAGCACACACACACACTCCGGTTGTGTCTTAAATCCGGGGAGTAGGTTAGCCTCCCCCCGACGCCCCTTCACAGTGTCCAAGATCCAAGGCCTTTTAGAAGGATGTTCTCTGTTTTCAACCGCACCGAGACTCATGTATTTCCATTGGTCAGTCGGCTAGCTTGGTCAACGCTAACAATAACCACACACGATGTACAAATTGTATGAGATACTTACTGCTCGTGGCAAAGCTTCCGGGGCCACATGACCCCCCCTCGTTGCCGCGGGGGCATGTACCCCCACGTATGTATCGTTGCAGCATCGGTGCTCACCTGCCGTAGTCACGCACGAGGAGCTTGCCCCCGGGCTTGAGCGCCGTCTCGACGAGCCTGGCCACCGTCGCCATGTCTTTGGGAGCTACGGCCGAGAGGCTGAACTGCAGCAGGACCATGTCCACGCCTCCGTCTTCCAACACGCTGGGCGGGAGGTCGTCGGCGGTAGCGTCTAGCACCAAGGCCTCGCACCGCCCGCAGCTGGGGGATGCAGCAATGGCGGGGCGAGGAGGAAGAAACGAGAGAGGTTTACGGTGTGATGGTGTTGCATGGGGAGGATTGCAAGAGGCGCAATGCGCCCGGCGACGCCCCCTAAATCTCAATAGCAACGACAATGACGATAACGACAACATCAACAACAACGACAACAACAACAACAACAACAACAACAACACAACAATGCAAAAATTATTGCGAATGTTCTTCAACGTTAACGCACAGGGGTAAGGGGGGGAAAAGGGGCCCGCAGCTACCACGGACGCCTATAATAGCACCACCCGCAGCCTAAACCAAAGCGCAAAACAACAGAGGAAGACAAGACCGAAAGTGCTGCATTCCATTGTGTAGCCCATGGTGATCCACATTGCGGTCTTCTGCGGGAAGACCACACCGTACGATGACACGGTATGATCGACGCTCCTCCCAGCCACCCGCCTGCTAGCACTAAACGCACACCCCTTCCCCCCCCGCTCGGAGTACACAATGACGTCGGTTCTATAATCTGCCAGCACGGCCCGCGAAGGGGCGAGTCAGTGCGAGGAGTGAGCGCTCGCCAGCACCTGGTTCCTGCAAAGCGGGCAGTGTCAGATTGCACTTACACCACCCCCAGTCCATCCAATCGCCGAGTGTCTGTAACAGCGGCTGGGCTTGGCTGATGGTGATGCTCCCAATGACGACGTGACATCCAGACCTTTCTCTTTCTCTCTCTCTCTCTCTCTCTCTCTCTCTCTCTCTCTCTCTCTCTCTCTCTCTCTCTCTCTCTCTCTCTCTCTCTCTGTTTCTCTGTCTGTCCCTCTCTCCCCCTCTGCCCCCCTCCCCCCTGTCTCTGTCTCGTTGTCCCTCTGTCCCTCTCTCTCACGTTCTGTCCCTTTGTCCTTCTGTTTGTCTCTATCTGCCTCTCTCCCACCCTCTGTCCCTCTCCCCCCCCCCGTGTCTCCCTCTCCCTCTCTCCCTCTCTGTCTCTCTACCCCCCTCTCTCTCTACCTCTCTCTCTCACCTGTACTTGGGGTGCTGCTTGAGCACCTGGATCCCTTTAGGGGACAGGTCTGCCGCGATGACGTAAAGTCCACGGTTCTCTTCAAGGAGAGGGAACACCGCGTTGCCCACGCCGCAACCGAGCTCCAACAGCGTCCTTCTGCCCAGCCGACGAGCCTTTCTCCGGGCACCGTTCTCGGGAACGGTCTCGCCGCCATCGCCGTTGCGAAAACCTTCCGCTGTTTCGAGCCTCTGTGGATTTGTGCACCACACATGAGAATAAAAGTGCGCGATTGCGCATACGGATGAATTTCTTCCATTCTTTCGAGTTCCTCCATTATTTCGAGTCTCTGTGATGTTGTTCATCACAAAATATATGCGAGGTTGGACACAGATGTCATAGAGGCGATAGTGAATATGGGGGTGGTAACGGTTTGTTGATAAGGCCAGAGCCAGAGACAGCTCGATACGACAAGCAGGACCCTCCCAGAATGTCTTTTGCAGAGATTGTCGCAAAAAGGGGAACGGCACAAGCGGGAGATTCATCAGAGAACTACAACAGTTGAACACGCGTTGTATTCACTGCTTTGGTTACTGAATCCTCCTCCCGAGAGAGGAACGAAACTCTATACGTACGTTTCTTTGTAGAGCAAATACAACACCACCACCAACACCAACATCAACACTGCAGTACCAACACCAACACCAACATCAACATCAACATCAACATCAACACTACAGTACCAACACCAACACCAACGCCACCACAACAAATACAAACAAACCACCAACAACAGCAGCAACAACAGCGCCACCACCACTATTATACGAACAATTACCAACAACAACAACAACAACAGCGCCACCACCACCAACACCACCAACACCACCACCACCACCAACACCACCAACAACAACAACAACAACAACAATAACCGACAACACGACCAACACTTCTCACTTGTGCCAACTCCAAGTCGGCGCCGGTTTCAGCCAGCTCCGGAAATACCTTTCCCAGATCTTCTCGAGCGTTGCCGTCCACATCCCACACCCCATACCATCAAATCGGTGAGGCCCGAAAAGCGAACAACAAAAAAAGACGAACGAGCTTTCAGACAATCGCCGCCGATGTGGAGACGGGGGGGGGGGTCTGCTGCTCGGATGTTGGTTGGTCATGACAATTGATTGAGCAGTGGCAAAACTTCACGCTTTTGGTTAAGCTCTTCCAGGTAGAATAGCTCCCAGAGGTTCGCTGGGGTCCACCGAGAAGTGTTCTTGAGCACGGTACGACTGAACGTTATTTTCTCACAGTGTCGGTCCTTGAAGAATTTCCCGCCGTTACGGCCGTAGAACAAGTCCCAGCTCTTCCTCGCCTCTCTCTCGTACTTGTCTCTCCAGAACTTGGACAGAGGTGGCCCCTTACCCTTGACAGATTGAAGAGCCTCTTCTTCCTGCAGAACGGAGGGAAAAAAAAGTGAAACCGTCGCCTCGTGTCGGGAGTTGGGCTACCCAATGATGTCATCTCTCTCTCTCTCTCTCTCTCTCTCTCTCTCTCTCTCTCTCTCTCTCTCTCTCTCTCTCTCTTTCTCTCTCTCTCTCTCTCTCTCTCTCTGTTCGCCCCATTCCCTTCTTTCCTCAAATCTCTCTCTG